GGCTTCAGTAGTCAAAGTAGTGTAGGCATTTCCACTACCAGATCCCCTTCCCCTTCCAAACACAGATCCTATGTTGCCAGGAGACCGTTCAGATAGGTGGCCTATCGAACGCATCCTCTCCAGCAACTCATCATACTGTTGTTGTGTTCGGGGCATTTGGTGATTGAGTGGCTGTAAGAGTTGCCTGGCTCGCTGGTTGCCGACGCCTAAGGCGCGGAATAGGATAGCGGTTAGCAGTTGGAAGTTGGGAAGGTCGAGTCCCACCGACTGTGCCTCAAGTCGGGCCATTTCGAATCGGGTAAGGGTGACATCGATTCGTTCCCCGTGAGGCACGTGGAAGTCGATGAGTTGTGTGCCGGAAGTGAGCTGTCGCTCATCTTCCAGGCGTTCGAACTTCATGCTTAGGAGGAACATGATGTAGGTCACTGGGTCGGTGTGGACCCCATCGATGTCAGCACCATAGTTTATAATGTCAGGCGGTACCCTCATGGCGAGTGTCCTCGCTAGGCCACCTAGGCCGCGTTGTATTGCGGCCGCTTGGGCCTGTGGCGTCATACGTCCGCTTGTAACGTTGAGCCATGCGTTGACCTCGTAAATGTACTCGCGAAAAGGTACATTACCTTGAGGGTCCCAATATGGGCCATGTGTTTGCCCATCGGTGCTGTTTTCTCCACGACGCATGTGTCCGATTGCTGCCCCCAGCGCGAACCATATAATAGCGAAAACGACTAGCCCGAGAATGTGTAGAGAAGGACGGTTATGATGCGCGTTGTCGCGCTGGGGTAGCGCCTTGTCGAGTCTTCGAGGCGCTCTGTCTGGCGGGTCTCCCCGCCCCTGCTTCAAGTATTGCGCTGTTAGCTCGTTGCCGAGCGGTTGGTGGTAACGCAATGATGAAGCGTATATGGTACCAATCTGGTCGTCTAGACGTCGTACCTCTCGCTTCTTGCTCTTGAATAGATCCTCGTAAACGTACTGGGAGTGGTGGCGCAGGGTGGTAGGTGGTCACGAAGATCGTGCCGAAGAATATGAGGCTAAGAAGAGCAAGAGCTGACCACACGAGAGTGCGGCCAGCTCCGCTACCAAGTCGAAAGTGAGCCTGGTAACTCAAATAGCATCCGATTCCATGATAGACATCGGATGGCAAATAGCGTCCATCGCTCTGCTGTGATAGTACAGTATGAGGGGTGGACGGATAATATAGGATAATATCGATGTAATGATCTTTCCAGCACATAGCGAACACTCGCGGTGTCCGGGCAAATAGGGCGCGCGTGCCTTGGGCCAAAGGCAACGGCGCGCGCGAGCTATGCTCCCGATACTATAACATCTCCCAAAGACCTACCCTTAAAGTTCTGCCTCCTCTGCCTCCTCTCCTCCCTCCTCCTCCTCCTCCTCCTCCTCCCTCCTCCTCCTCCTCCTCCTCCTCCTCCTCCTCCTCCACCTCCTCCTCCTCCTCCTCCTCCTCCTCCCCCCCGCTCTGAGCGACGATCGCAAGCGGGTCTCACGCAAGATGGCACAGCGATCTTACACGGTGGCTCACGCTGGCCGCCAGCTCGGCACGCCACATCTGAAGCAAGGGCGCCTGCGCGCAATCTTCTGCATCCATAGATACAGTAGGGGCCCGACCGCAAGAAAGCTCCCTCAAGCCGCCCAACCCTGAGACGCCAGGATGGGCGCCCATTGAATCGTGGTGTGGGAGCACCACGCATTCCATAGCAAAACCATTGAAACCCAAGATATTCAGGGCACCCTGCATGTAAGAAGGGTGTTTCTTGGCATGGGCTTCCACTGTAAGGCCCAGGCCTTCTAAAAACATCATGGGGTGCTTCCAAGAAGCCTTCTGCGCGTGGCCGCAAGAGGGGGTGCATCACACTATCACACCATGGTCCGAGGCCTGTGCGCGGACGGGGGGGTACCAGGGGACGTAACCGTGGAAGGGACGACAACTGGCAGGCCCAGGCCAAGAGGCCCACGCACCACAAATGGGAGAACTCCCGCCGCCTTCTGAGAAGGCCTTCTCCTCCTCCTCCTCCTCCTCCTCCTCCTCCTCCTTCTCCTCCTCCTCCTCCTCCTCCTCCTCCCCCTCCTTCTCACTTGCCCCCCTTGGCGCGCCGCAGAATTGGTTTTTGGGTCAGAACTCGGGCATCCGGCGGCCGTTCGGGACGATCGGGGCACCCACAGAACACCCTCGGCCAGGCGCAGCTGCTGGCAAGCATCCCGAGGCTGGAAAACCTCCGAGAACCGACGAAATCGTCCGAAAACCTCGACCCTCGAACCCGAAACTTCCCCCCTCCCTCGCCGCCGACCCTTGCCTCACCCCTGACTGAAGGACGCCTCCGAGACCTGACGTCCGCAGAAATGCTCCGTGCCGGGCCATCCGCGTCCAAAGGCCCCCGACCGCCTCCCCCGGGCCAGGTTTTCGCTCTGGGCCCCGTCTGGATGGCCAAGACCGCTGCAAGACGGCTCCAAGGGTCCAAAGATCTACCCCAGGAGGCCCCGAAGTGGCCAAAATCCGTCCATAACCTTAGGGAAATCAATCTTGTTCGCTTTCTCGCCTTTTCGCTTTCGATGGCCAGTTGAGGCTTCGAGATGGCTCCAAGACGGCTCCAAGAGCGCTCCAGGGCTCCAAAGAGCGGGTGCCTGGAGACGGACCCCGACAAAGGAGGTCGAAGAACGCACGCCAGCCTCACACAGACCACTTGGGCCGCGAGGAGTGGGGCGATCAGTGGGGGGGGGCAGCGAGGGCTGCAGAAGAGGGGCCCTTTAGGAACCAGAAGGGGGCCTGTCGCTGTCGGGTTCGAGAAGTGCACCTTTCCTCCGCCCCCCCCTCATGTATCGCCACCCCCCCTAATTGTGCGACGCCCAAACCATGTCTCTGATCTGACCTCTGACCTCTGGGCCACAACTCCGGCCTCCGGCGGCCGATCGGAACGTTTCTGGTACCCCCGAGACGCCCTCGGCGAGGCGTAGCTGGCGGGAAACACCCCGACGCAAGAGATCCTGAAGGAACCATTGGCGGCGCGCACAAGGTGGTGGGGGAAAAGGAGAACGGCTTCTTGAAAGCAGGCTGCTTCGTCGAAGGCGCCGGCCTCACATCTATAGATAGGGCCCGCTCCCTCTAAGGAGCCGGGATGTTTTTACGAAGCCTCCCCCCCTCCCCATACCCCCCTCTGCGCGTGGCCGCAAGAGGGAGGGTCTATCACACCATGGTCCGAGGTCTGTGCGCGGACGGGGGGAGTTCGCCCCCACCCCCCTCTGAAGGGGGAAGGGTTCGACAACCAGGGGGGGGGGAACGGTTCCAGACCCCCCCCCTCCAAGCGCCCACAGAACGCGCTCTATCTTACGAGGCCTCCCCCCTCCCTCTCTGTACGTAGTCGAAACCCGCGGGGCCTCCCGAAGACCTCCGGCTGGAGGCTTCCTCGCAGCGGCGTCTTGTCCCCGCGCTCACCTGGGCCACCCTGGGATCGAGGGTCCCAAATGCGCCGCCAGAATATCACCACATCCACTGCCGCTGGGCCGTGGTCCGAGAACTCGGGGAGCGGTAGATATGGATAATTATCTTATCTGCCTCCCCACGCGGGCGGGCAAATATCCATATCCACCGCGCCTCGAGGTCTCAAGGCACAACTCCGAAGCGGTGGATGTGGACATATTCTTGCGGTGGACCAACAGTCCGTGTGGTGCTGGACCGCGTGGTGCCCTCGGAATCCCGCGACGACCTCACCGCGCGGTACGTCACCGCACGGTCTCGGAGACTTCAGAGGCCCCAGTCGTCCGCGAGACGTCCTGGGAGAGGATGGCCCCGAGCCCCCAAAACCACGCGGCGACCCCCAACCCCCACTGGCTCACCATCCGACGAAGGCGTCAGGAGGGCGTATACACCATGCCAGGGCCAGGATGGCCCTGGCCTGGCACGGTGGTGGTGTATAGATGCCTTCCGCGTACACCACGCGTTGTGGTCATCAAGCCGTCCGGGGACTTTTTAAACGCCGCCGACGTGGCCCAGTTGAAAAAAGTCGCTTCGCCAACAGCGGCAGCTGTTCGTACTGAGCAACGTTTGAGCTACGAGCAAAAATAAATCTGGCGCGAGATGACAGCGACCTTCCGCGGCGGCTTACGCGGGCCGCCAGCGCGTCACGCCTCAAAGGAAATGAGGGCGCTGACGCGCGACCCTTCGCGGGCAGCTTACGCGCCAATGTCGGTGAAGACGACCCCGTTCAGCGTCGCTTGATTACTGTTGGGCATCGTACCCATGCTTTCCGTACCCATTCCAAAACATGCGATGTGCTGTTTCAAGACGGGATCCACGGGAGTCCCGACTCTTTCCCTGTGGCCAATGGTCCATCCTGGGTTGTTTTTTTGCCCGTCCCCGCGAGGGCCCCCGGAGGCCGAAATCGGCCCACTCCCCCCGTCGTGATTTTTGTCCCCGACGCGAACATGTCTGGACTTCGGGCACGCAGGGCCCAGGCCCCCCCCCAGCGGATCCAAATCGGCTTCGGTGGCAACTCATGGGAGCCTCCCCTACAATTGTACCATCTTGTCGGCTCTTGCTCATCGACGCTAAATCGACGCTCGTCGACGCTAAATCGACGCTAGTCGACGCTAAATCGACGCTAGTCGATGCTGACCGATGTAAATCGGCGCAACTCATTGACTCCCAGACGCTAATCGACGCTACTCGACGCTAGAAACGGAATTAAGGGGTTTGCCAGGCTTTACTGGGCCCTGGAAGCGACAGGCCCGTTTTTTCATCGGTTCCGTTTTGCCGTTTTTGCTGCCAATTCCGACGCCGCTTTTATTACCGGTTCCGTCGCCGTTTTTTTACCGTTCCTGGCTCCGGTTCCAATCTTGGAACCGTTTTTTGTTGCCGTCTCCGGCCGCCATTGTTTCCCGCTTCCATTCTCAAGAGACATTTTTCGGAAAGGTGAAAAAACGGCCCTGCCGCCGCTTCCACGACCTACTAAGTCAGGCCCCCTCCCCCCCCGGGAGCGCGCGGGAGCCTCCATCGTGGCCTTCACCACGCTGACCTCCGCCGCCCAGACCTGGCGCCCAGGGCGCGGGCCCTCCCTTGGAGACTTCAGGTCGGGCATGCCCTCCTACAGGCGGATCTTGATAGACAAATTCGAAAGATTCAACATGCATTCGAAACTAGCTGAAAAATAAACGAATCCCGTCCCAAATTATGTTGAGATCACTCCCCAATCTGTCTCCTGCAGAGGGACACGCCCGCCCGACTTCACCCCAGGGGAACCAACAAGGGCGCCCAACTTCGCGCCTCGCGCGGGGCGCAACGCGAAGGACTCCGCGCCCTCGCGCCGCCCCCCCCCCCCCCAGGGCCGAGCCGAGCCGCGCCGCGAGGCGCGAATCGGAGCCGAGCCGCGCCTTGCCGCGCGAGGAATCGGAGCCGAGCCGCGAGGCGCGAATCGCGCCCCGCGGCTCGGCTCACCGGCGCGAAGCGGCTTCGTGCCAGCGAGGGCGCCCTGGCAAGCAACGACGCGGCTGGGAGCGCAGAGAGCGAGGCTCTCGGGAATCCTGCGCAGATTCCTCGAAGCGGCGCTGGGGCCCTCTGGTGGCGCCTCCGGCGCCGCCCCTGGCGGGCTCCGCGTGCCGGGCAGGGGGGCCCAGCGCCGGTCCGAGGAACCCCCGCGCGGACCTCGAGAGGGAGGAGGAGGATGGATAGAGGAGGAGGAGGAGGAGGAGGAGGAGGAGGAGGAGGAGGAGGAGGGGAGGAGGAGGAGGAGGAGGAGGAGGAGGAGGAGGAGGAAAAGGATAGAGGAGGAGGAGGAGGAGGAGGAGGAGGAGGAGGAGGAGGAGGAGAGGAGGAGGAGGAGGAGGAGGAGGAGGAGGAGGAGGAGGAGGAGGAGGAGGAGGAGATAGAGGAGGAGGAGGAGGATGAGGAGGAGGAGGAGGAGGAGGAGGAGGAGGAGGAGGAGGAGGAGGAGGAGGACGAGGACGAGGAGGAGGAAGGATAGAGGAGGAGGAGGAGGAGGAGGAGGAGGAGGAGGAGGAGGAGCTGAGGAGGGGAGGAGGAGGAGAGGAGGAGGAGGAGGGGAGGAGGAGGAGGAGGAGGGAGAGAGAGGAGGGGAGGAGGAGGAGGAGGAGGAAGGATAGAGGAGGAGGAGGAGGAGGAGGAGGAGGAGGAGGAGGAGGAGGAGGAGGAGCAGGAGCAGGAGCAGGAGGAGGAGGAGGAGGAGGAGGAGGAGGAGGATGGGGGAGGAGGAGGAGGAGGAGGAGGAGGAGGAGGAGGAGGAAGGATAGAGGAGGGAGGAGGAGGAGGAGGAGGAGGAGGAGGAGGAGGAGGGAGGAGGGAGGAGGGAGGAGGAGAGGAGGAGGAGGAGGAGGAGAGGAGGAGGAGGAAGGATAGAGGAGGAGGAGGAGGAGGAGGAGGAGGAGGAGAGGAGGAGGAGGAGGAGGAGGAGGAGGAGGAGGAGGAGGAGGAGGAGGAGGAGGAGGAGGAGGAGGAGGAGGAGGAGGAGGAGGAGGAGGAGGAGGAGGAGGAGGAGGAGGAGGGGGAGGAGGAGGAGGAGGAGGAACAGGAACAGGAACAGGAACAGGCTATCCCACGTAGTGGCACTGGGAGCTCTCGGCCATAACCCATCTTCGATGCGAGATAAATATTCTCGTCGATGGGGCTCAAGCTTATGGGAACATGGTTTCGACAACTCACGCATAATAACATGAGCATAAAAAACCACAAGCTTGACAAAACCAAAGATGATGGGCCCGCTGGAGCCTCGTGGAATGCGTCTCGTGAGCCCAACCCCCCGCTATGTGGGGCCGCCCCCCCCCCAGGGGGAAGGGCAAAGTACTTATCATTAACGAGGGTCGGGGTGAAACACGCGGACTCGTGCCACTTCTTCATTGTGGCCCAGGTGGCAGAACCGAAACAACAAAGACATCTTTTACTGGACTCGTCGAGCTGATGACAGGAGGAGAAAGCGGCCATGAAAGTAGGGGCGGGGGGACGGGTGGGGGGACGAGAGGGCCCCCCCCGCTCTCCTGCCTCCGCAACCCCGCTCCTCGGCCTGCATGGCGTCCAGGGGCGCACGTAGCAGGCGGTGCCGCACCTGCCGCGCTCTCTTCTCCACGACCATGACCTGATGCATCGCAGCCTGTGGAATCTGGGCGCGGGTGGCTGCCTCACCCGCGAGCACATCTGCAACAACATTACCTGCAATAAGAGCAGAGGGGATGGAGCGATCAACAACATCAGAACTCGATAGATGAGAGTTGGTGAAGATCATGGCAATCTCTCCAACCCTCTGCGACAGAAGCTTTGACACTCTCAACCACAAATCAGCGTCGGCACCACGTGGCACCTCGCATTTTCCTCCATAGAATCCTCGGATCACCGACTCGTTGTCGGTCACATAACAGATATGTCCGACTGTTGTGCGCAAAGCCAACTCGAAAGCCAGCCATTCACCCCGAGGCACAGATTGGCGGCAGCCTGGTAGCCGTCCAAAAGCAGACGGCCGAATGGAGAGTGGGAAGAAACAGTCGAACGTGACAATAGCAACACCGACACGGCGAAACCTGCTTTCACCCGAAGTTTTCCCACCAAACGCGTCGCCGAAGACCAGGAGCGGGTTCCCAGGCTCCCCACGTCCCACGGAACCAGCACACAAATCATTACATCCTGACGTCCACCAGAACTCGGTGTCGGGAGGAGGAGGAAGTGCAGTGGCGGACGCTGGAAGAAGGCCACGTAGCGAGAAAGAAGGTGAAGCCTCTGCTTGAGTGAGCGCTTCAGCAACAAGGTCCTGTGATTGCTCATATGCCGCAACGCCAACATTATCTTCGCAACCCCAGACCCGATGAAACGCGGTTTCAGGATACTTCCGGCACCGTGGACATAAGTCGTCAAAGCTGGAGTCCAACTCAGACTTAACTCTAGCCCTGGGCCAAATACCCCCAACGGCAATCGACACCATAAGTTCACTCAAGCGCTCGCCTTGCGAAACCAGCTTGAGCTGGGAAATAAACCTGCGATAAGACGCGTTGTCCACACCATTCTGAACTCCACCACCACACCGGTGTTCAGCCGCGCGCTGCCACAGCTTAGACTGAATAGATGACATAACGTGCCGAATAACAGGCTCAGGGGAATCTAAAATAATATTACCCGAGAGTCCTTCTTCGGGAAACTTCCAAGCCTCCAAATCTCCAGGAAAATCAGAAGGGGCCTTCCAATGATCGGGCTCCAGGGGTTCCCATCCAGCCTCAAGTAAATACAGCATGATGGCCCCCATAGGTCCCCTAACGTGGCGCGACCGATGCTGAGGAGCGGCCTGTTGCAGCTTGCGCAACAACGCAGGCCAGGCTCTGCGAACTCCAGAACGGATGGACGGTTGCATGATCCATTGCCTCATCCAAAATTCGGAGGAGGAGGAGGAGGAGGAGCAGGAAAGATAGAGGAGGAGGAGGAGGAGATCCGCAGGGACCTCGAGTTCGACGTCTATGTCATGGTTTGTTCACCCAGGCTCGCTAGAAAGGGCTGGCTCCTACGTTGTAACCCCGCGCTTTCAGGGCGAGTTCAAATTTTTGCCTAAGATCTCCCCCACTGTGCCGCGAGGCGCTCGTTGGAGTGCCTCAGAGGTTCGGATGATAGCACCAACGCCAATGTCGGCGGTGTGCCTGCACCGAGTGAAGACGATTCCAATCTCGGTGATGGTGGTCATATCCGGGCCTCCTGGGTGGCCAACAAGTTACAACCACCACCAAAATATAGGATCATCTCCCCCTGGTTGAGGAACCCCGTTCTGCTGGTGCTGGCGCAGATTTCCGAGCCTCCAAGTGCCCTCCCTTGCAGTCCTCAGTCCCCAATCCTCAAGGTTGAGTAAGTGGGGGGCCCAGGCCCCAAACTCCTGCATCTCCTAGGGTTCCCGGCGCGCTTCGCGGCCTCCAGCGCGCCTCCTTTCTCGCGTGACTTTCTCGGGCCCAAGAGGGCACGGGAAACAAACCCAGAGGGCCCCGGGACAGGCACGGCGGCTGCATGGGCCGAAGGCTGGTGGAACACAACAACTCTTGGTTCGAATTTCGAGCGGTGACGAGCCCTAGGGTGAAGAGCTCTAGTTGTAGGGCTGACCTTCGTCAACTTCGGCACACCAGAAGCGTTCCTAGGGCGACCGTGCCGTCCCGGGCAACCGCGATGTGATCCCGCCAGGTGCCCAGCGCGAACCAGTCATTCGAAGTACAATTAAACATTTACCACAAGGAACGGTGGCCAAGTCTCGTTTAGACACCAGAAACGCACAAATGTCCACGAGGAGAACTGGAGGAATAACCGTGGAAGAACCAAACAAGAACAGCGAACCGCTTCCGAACCCGCACTGGTCTTTAACTTAGCTTAACGTCGTGATTGTATGCCGTCCGTGCATGTCTGGGGCTTATCTGCAAAAACTGCTCTCTGCTGGGTCCCGCGTACCTTGTTTCGTTGCGATCTTGCACTAGAATAGTGGATGCCACGACACTGGACACCCTAACAGTCCTATCATTGAATTTAGACTTTGTTTAACATGTGGGACATATGTAAAAAAACGTGTGAAACATGTGTTTACATGTTAAAATCATGTTTGGAGCATGTTTTAGACATCTGGAAAGTATTTGGCAGCATGCTTCCTCTCCATTAATCGACCTTCACAACGCTGGAACAACGCCGTTCACGCAAGCCGACGCGTGTGCATCACACTGGCGCGTGTGCATCACACTGGTTGCCACGAGCCCCTGTGCTGTCCCGCACGGGGGCCAGAACGGCACACACGCCTCTCCGCCTCCGTGCATGCGCGCCCTCTCCGAAGCCAGCCCCCCTTCCAAGGCCGACAGGGAGGGGGGAAGGGGGGGGCCGAGAGGCCGGATCGCCTCTGGAGCCGTCAACCCCGTTTCTGAGGCCCTCCGTAGCCCCGTACAGTCGGCCTTGATTGGACAGGACACGCGAGAGGACACAAGACCCTTCCGAGGGCCACATTGCCATGGGGGATGCAGGAGGCATGGGTCGCGAGGCACAGGACACAAGGGTACCGAAGGGTACCCTTGATTTGGC